AAATAATAATTATATATCGAGAAACTGTGGTTACGCTCGTTGAATTTGACACTTTATGTCAGTTTAATATTTTCGTACTTTTATGCTTAGGCGTAAATGTGCTTGACTTTTATGCCTAGGCGCTAAAATGACTTTTTTGTCAATCACGTCACAAAAATTAATACTTTTGTGACGTTTGAAAAAAAAGTAATTTTTTGTAAATAGACTTGTGTTTCTGGAAATTTCCTGGTTCTATCCTCTTTTTTAGTGTTAGTTTTGACAAGCTTTATGTCAATTTTCAGTAAATGACGTCTAGGGCTTGACCTCGCCAAAATTATCATGGATCGTCATTCCCCAGGCGTCTTTGACGCTAATTTTTTTCCATCATACGGTATGCTGAAAAAAAAAGGAAAAATTAAGCTTGTTATAACATAATAAAAAAACAGTTTCATACGTTTGTTCTTTGCGGTACTATTCCGTGTTTTAAGAGCTGTAATCAAGCAAGGTCAGATCACCTTGATTTCTTTAAAAAATGGAACAAATTTATATGCAGCCTAAATTCTGTTAATGTTTAAATATCAGAACTTTTTGCCTCATTATTATATTTTGCTTTGGAATTTTTTTGAATTGTTTCTATTGTTCTATTATATTATTATTTCTTGTTTTTCTAAATGGACAATTGTTCGTTGACAAATCAATAAGTCAACGGTATTTAAATATTCTGAAACACTTTTTTTATATTTTTACTTGATTTCTTTTTTCCTTCCACTATGAGACATCTGAAATATGTGTTCAACTAAGGCCAAAGCCACTTAAAAATTTGTTACCATGAATTTTAAACCCTCCTAGCTTTTTGAATTATGCAAAAATTTTATACCAGAAATATTTTCTAAGTTGCGTTAATTCAAAAATAAATACTTTAAAGTTCATTATCTATTATCTATACTTTTAATATTTGACCCCAAGCATTTCATTTTAATTTTCTATTTTCGAAAAAAAAAATCACTTGGGAGTATTGCAACACACATGTAATAATAAAAAAAAATAACCTAATATAGTTATTTATAGAAAAAAAATCCGTCATTACTTAATTACGATATATTATTTGTTGCAATTAAAAATTATACAATTTACCCTTTAAGTCATTATATGTAGAAATAACGTTATTTTCAATAAATATATAATAGATTAAAAATGGTAAGCGTTTATTTAATTTGACAATATAAAGTATTCGAAAATGAAAATGAATAAATACATTTTACATAAGGGCAAAACCATTCTTTAAGACCCATCACCATTTGTTGTAAGATTATATGAAACATATTTCCTACCAATTATAGAATCGGATCGACTTGGTCTAGTAATTTTAGAATATAGGAAATGGATATTTAATTTCATTATTTCCTTTAGCCATGTAAGTTTAGTAATGAGTCACTTTTTCTTATTAAACGCGGTTATGTGGGGATACAAGATTCTAATTCTCAATATGGTAGACTATGGTAGTAATAGATAGTATAACCTGTAGTATAACGATGGGAAATGCAGTGAGTGGTACTAGAAATAATAAACGAACTAGTGTGAAAATATGTGATTACCGAAGGTAGGTTTCGTAAATTAATTCTCAAATTAAAATTATATTGATTATATTGACATGGACTTAGATTGAATGTATTATAACTTTATTTATTCCAAATAACTTACAGTTTCCAATAAGTTACAAAAGGTCAGTAAGTTTGCTCTATCTTGATCCGTTAAAAATTCCGAAAAATAAAATATTTTCTTTCCCCAGGAAGTAGCTTTTTTTGTACTTGATTTTTATATGATAAATCCTTTTAAAGAATTATTCACTTATTGATATTATTATAGAATTTCGTCATTGTAGTTTATAAAAAAATCGCATAAAAGTTAATAATATATCTTCTTATGGAGCCAAATTAAAAAAAAAACTACTTTAATAGTGAATTCCATATTTTTATAGCAATTTAATGGCTATTAACATTCATAGACAACGTAAAATAAATCAACAACAAATTGAGTCTACCCTACGTTATATTTTTACAAGTAGGTATTGAATAAAATTAGAACAGAAGACTGATAAACCCTTAGATTATAATTATGATAAACCCGAATTTAAGTCGGCCATTTTAGGTCCTCATTGCGCTTCACCTAGGTTTTTGATATGCTAACCTGATTTTATAACAAAATACAGGCTTATATTCGCCATCGTCTTTTGACTTTGACGAATTACTAACATTTTTTTACTGCGTAGTAGATATTTCTGGAAAATTTACTGTAAAATACTGTAATTAAGTACTGCAACATGGCAAAGATAGGTTGCCATTATTCTGGCACAAATAGAGCTGCATACTGTGCAAATTATAAGTTCAGGATGATACAACGAACTAATCAAGAATTTAGTAAAAGCAATTAGAGATTCAAATAAAATATTATTCTTTAAAATAACAGAACATAAAATACATATGAATGAATAGTGAGCAAAACAACTTCATATTAAAATTGATAATTAATTTTAATATGAACTATTTTTTAACGGAAAACAAGGCTCTTACAAACTTTAAAGAATTAATTTATATAATGTACTTGAGACTTACAAGTTTTTTTAAACATAATTAACAGTTATTATTATCAAGTTAATTCATTTAGAAATACCTTTGAGAAAGACATGAGAAAGACTGAAATTAATCAGAGAAATTATTGTCAAATGTCAACGTCAACTGTCGCTCTTTGACTTTGACATATTAGTAATCAAAATCTGACCAAAATATCGTTGAAGTGTCACTTTTCATATTATCTATAATTGATTTAATACAGAGACGACCTATATAGAATAAAAAGATAGATCACGTTCCGGATGATAATGCTGCTGTAACAAATGGAATTTTTGGAAAGCCACCTGGAAAGGTACCTATATGTAATATATATTAGGGTGGTCCTTAATACGGATGTATCCGAATTTTTTTGCTCCCTGGGGCTCAAATGGTTCCAAATTCATAAAAAAATTGTCTGAGAATTGTAGCTCTTAATATTAACTTTAAGATAGTCCGCGTTCCAACTAGGGTTCCCACTTTGAGCATCGGCGATTCCGGGACAATTATTTTTAAATTTTTAAATAATTGAAACAAAACATTAAATATTAGAAATTCAAATATATTATATGTAAATGTGATTTTTTTGGTCCCGGCCAAGGCAAAATTTTCGCCGGGACAAACTTTCTGATTCCTGGTTAATCCCGGTTAAACCGGGACGGTTGGGAACCCTAGTTCCAACCCAAGTTTCTCATAGAAATAAAATGGGAAAGTTTTAATTTGTTCTTTAGAATTTCATAACTCTACAACAAATGAATCAATTGCTTCATTTTAAGTCAACGCTCTACAAAAAAAGTATTTTATAATTTTTCGCTAAATCTATTGGCTTAAGAGTTATTCGAGCTCAAAGTTTAATTTACTATACCGTGTGGTGCATCGTTGTTAGAAACATAGGAAATCCCATGCAAATTTTGAACTGTTCAAATATTGGCTCCCCTATTGATTTTACAGCAAAGTCGTAAATAGATTTTTTAAAGGTCTACGATTGGTAAAGACGCCAACTAACAAAAAAAACAAAAAACTAGCCAAATTTAAACCGTTTTGGACAAGCCGATGTTCAGTAATTTGCGAAAAACTGCATCTATTTTTAAATTAAAACAGAATAGGTAACAATCAAACACCAGTCAAAAACCGACATACCTTAAGTTGTCACCGTCATTTTCAAACAACTTAATTTTAATATTCAGTACTAGACTAGTAATAATTTATTGTTATACAGGGTCCGGCAATAGTGCGTCGGGCATCTGTGGCTCATAGAATAAAAAACTTGGGAATTTTGTTCATGTATGAACTGAAAGTATGTATGAGGATGTATTTCAGGAAAATATTTTAACTTATATAGGGTGGCTCAAAAAAGTGTGGGTGGATCGGGATGATTTTTTTAAATAGAACATCCTGTATATTATTGCATTTTTGGCTTCCTTTCTGACCACGTTACATAATCCTAAGATGTGATTAAACATATTTCGATAGTTTTAGAGATATTAATAAATAAATAAAACATATATACTTATTTTACAACCTTCACTAAAAAATTATTATAAATACAATATCTGTCCTAAAATCAAAACTATATTAGATATTTACTTTAGAGGGTCCATAGTACTTACTTTGCTATAAATGTCGCAATATTAAATCATACAGGATGTTCAAAATTCTACGCCAAACTTTCTAAAATATTAACTAATAATAATAATTTTTCTTAATGGTTTTGCGTATTTTTAATGGTTTTACAAATACTCTAAATACAAAAAAATCTTCATTTTTCAATTCTCCATCTATTGAAAAAATAATATACAGAGTGTTTGAAAACAAACATATTTGAAAAAACCAAGAAAAATTATTTAATATTTTAGAAAGTTTGGCGTAAAATTTTGGGCATCCTGTATAATTTACGATTACCATATTTATAGCAAAGTAATTGTAGACCATCTAAAGTAAATACCTATTATACTTTCGATTTCAAGACAGTTCTTGTATTTTTAAGATTTTTTTAAAGAAAGGCTGAAAAATATATATTTTTTATTTATTAATTATTAATATCTCTGAAACTATCGAAACATATTTACTCATATCTTAGGATTATGTAAAGTGATCTGAAAGTAAGTCAAAAACGCAATAATATACAGGGTTGGTACAGTTAAAAAAAAATCATCCCGATCCACTCACACATTTTTGAGCCACCCTATAGGAGTTAAAATATTTTCCTGAAATACAACCTCGGTACATACTTTAGGTTTGCACTTAAACAAAACGCTCAAGTTTTTTATTCTAGGAGCTACAGATAGATGCCCGACGCACTATTGCCGGACCCTGTAGAGAGTCTGAAACTTATCAGCAACATTGCCAACATTGTTAAATGTCAAAATCAACTATCACTTAGTAATCAAAATTTGACTGAAATATCGTTGAAGTGTTACTTTTCTGATTATCTAAATATTTAATATAACCGACAGAATGAAGGAAAGAAAAAGACCCGATCGCGTTTCTGATGTAAATACTGCTGTAACATTAAATGCAATTTTTGGAAAGCCACCCGAAAGGTATACAATACAATTTAATGTAGTAATGTGTGTAATATCAGATTAACGTATCCTAACTTTTTTGAACAAGTTGTAAATAAAAGCCAAAATCCAAGAAAGAACATATAATTAGTTAATTCTAAATGAAGTTCATAGTTAAAATATCTCGGTTATTTTGGATATATTTGAAAAACGGTAAACAGGAAATACAATCACCGGCACGAAAAACAGACACCTTAAAATATTGATGTATTTTAAAGTTGGATATATTTTGTTCTAGTATGACGATTTTTTTAAACAATTTGTAGCTAAATTATTTGACATTTTATTGTCTCTAAATTAAAAATGAAAATTCTTATGTGTCAATTATTGGGAGGAAAAGAAAATTTTGTTATTTTGGTGAAAGTTTGAAACACCCTGTGGAACATGTTAACAAAGCAAGTAATTGAAAAATAATTTTATCATCTAGGTACGTCTTTTCCCGACAGTTTCTTTTTGCTTCATCTCAAAGCTTTATTTTTATTTAATATATATATATAAGCTTTTGAATAAGACAGTAACGATTTACAGCAATTTTGGCATTGATTTTTGGTCCTCATGAACACACTTCTAAAATAGTCTTTATTGTTTTTGTAATGCCACTGTGTGTTATTTTAAAGTCATATTATTATTCTTTATTGACGTTTAATCTAGTAGAGATAATTTTAAGTTCTGAACTATCGGCTATTTTTTTAATTGATCGTGATGGTAGATATCAACTTTAGGACTTAAAACCATATCTGCTAGAGTAACTGCCCAACAGACAATAATAGTATGATTTTTCAAAGGCAGTGGCATTAGATAAATCATAAACACTATCTTATAGGTCTGCTGACTAGGGCCAAAAGCAAAGGAATGGCTTGAATGTAAAAATTCGAAAGAATGTTAGTGTCTTCTTCAAAAGCAAATATCTCCTAAAAAAATAAAGCTATTAAGATGAATCAAAAAACAAACTATCGAGAAAAGATTCATCTAGATGAAAGAATTATTTTTAGTAATAGGTAATAATTTGGCTACAAATTGCTTATTAATATATATGAAAATTTTAAGGCGCCCGTTTTTCGTTCCGATGATTTCTTTTATCAAGATGTACCAGGCCTGGAAATACTTGCACTTGTTTAAGACTCACTCTGTATATTACAGCATGGAAAAAATCGGTTGCCTTTCTGAAACAAACAGAGCTTCACACTGTGGAAATTATAAAAATATTCATGGAAAGTAGGTAGTATTTTTTAGAAAATTGATTAAAAAATGTACCTATTATCGTATTTAAGTTCAATATGATAATACAATGAAACAATCAAGTTCTTCTATTTTATTTTTTTTTAAATGAAATGAAAATGTGCTTTTAGTTTTAAGAAACCTTGTTAGAGAACGTCAAGTTACCGCTTTTGGACACATGGCTGTAGGGCATCTAGAAAAATAGAGTGCATTGGCAGTAAGATTATCAAACAGCGGAAAAGCTAAGGGAAAATATTATAAGGCAGTTCTAGTTATTAGAAGAAGGGATATAACTAGAGCGGGCAATTATTTTTAATCGACGGGCACGATTATGTATCCAGGAGGAGAGCTACCAGTTTGAACTATATTAGTTTCATAAACTATACAGGGTGATCCACCTCATTCGCCTCGGTTGATTATACGAAAACGGAAAGATGCAGAAACAAATTATTTTATGGGTATATGTGGGGCGGCAATGTGCACAATTTGAAATTATTTTGAAATATACAGGGTATTTCAGAACTAAAATCTATACCAGAGTTATATTTTTTCTTATGGAACACCCTGTATTTTTTTATTTTTGGATTGGGCCCAAAAATGCATTTATTATAAGGGTTAAATATGTTTAAAATCTTTGGTTTTTGAAATATATAAATATTTTTAAATATGCATGCTACATAGAATAGATTATTAACACCCTGTACACATTACTTTTCAGAATTAACTCTTGTGCTGAGTTTAAAGGCAGGGAACTAAATTTTACTAAAAAATTGTTATTGCTTCCTTAAATTTATACAGGGGTACCAAAAATTGCTGATCTATTTTAAGGATTTATTTTATATAAAAGCTTCGTTATTTCAAATGCAACATCCTCTATTTTTTAAAATAAATCGAAGCAGATTCAAATGCTCTTTCAAACTACATTAGGGTTTCCTATGCCTATCTAGCTCAGATTTTAAATAAAATTTATTTTTCAATAAAATGGCAATCAAGACGGCTGGTGTTGCCATGGCAATTTCCTAGTGACAGGTAGTAACTATTTTCAACATCGACATTAGTTTATGGGCATTATAATTTAGATTTGTAACAGTTTACTTAAATTTACCTTTAATGTTTAATATGTAAGTATTAATTATTTTATCAAGAAAAATAAAGCAGTATCTGCTGGCGGTTGAATTGATATGTTACTAGTGATTTTATTTTGTCAGGAAAATGCTTCTTGGCCTCCAGGGCTTATACTCAAAGATATCCAAACAAGAATCTTCCTGATAAGCGTTCCTTTGAAAAACTACTCGTCCTATTTCGCAGAGCTGGTAGTGTGGTTTATAAAAAACCTATAGGCAGAAAGCTCTCGTTGGAAGTGAAGAAAATGAATTTGCTGTGATTGGCTCTTATACAAAATCCATATATCTACGTTATCGTAAAATAAATCAAATAACTAGGTACTTCTTCGTTTTTCTTGATATAATAATAAATACATATTTAATAATAGTATATTATTCAACGAGCATATAAGGGTGGCTGTTATTCACTCGGATGAAGTTTATGACACGAGCCGCAGGCGAGTGTCATAAATCATCCTAGTGAATAACAGCCCTTATATGCGAGTAGAATACTATATTTTATCCAGGACTATCAAAAAAATTTAGATAATATTAATGTTTTTAAGTTTTTATTTTTAATGCCAAAAAAATATTGAACGAGTATAACGAGTAAGTAACATGGAAACCAAACATTGAAATTTTATTAACTAGGTAGCTAACTAAGCTTTAACTTACAATCGCATTCCAAGCCGGTTTGAATCGAGCACAGCCCTTGTTTGGAGTTTGGATCGAGATATCCGTGGAAGCGGTGAATAATGAAACCATTATTCACTAGTGAATAATGAATATTATTATTATTTCATAAACTCATGTATAATAATCAAATTATAGACGAGTCGTGGATAAATATTATTTATTAAACTATTGTAGCTAAATTAAATAAAAGCAAACTGGTATAAATCTAAACAAAGTCCATGACCTAATTTCGATTTTGAAAATAGACACTAACTGTCACTAGAAACTTGCCATGAGGACACTAGCCCTCTTGTTTGCCATTTTAATCAAAAAAATGCTCTTTATTCAAAATATGAGCTAGATAGGTATAGGAAACCCTAATATAGTTTGAAAGAGCATTTGAAACTGCTTCGATTTATTTAAAAAAATGGAGGGTGTTGTATTTGAAATAACGAAGTTTTTATGCAAAATAAATATTTAAAATAGACCAGCAATTTTTGATACCCCTGTATACATTAAACGAATCAATCAAATTTTACAACAAAGTTTATTTCTTTGGCTTAAAAATCAGCGCAAGAATTAATTCGAAAAGCAATATACAGGGTGTTGTGTGGACAATGTTTGTAAAGCCTGTAAACATATTTAACCCGTATAATAAATGCCTTATTTTGTGTCCAAGGATCCAAATATGAAATAAAATACCGGGTGTTCCATAAGAAAAAATATAACTTCAGTGTGGACCTTAGTTCTGACATACCCTGTACATTTCAAAATAATTTTAAATTATGCACATTGCCTTCCCACCTATACACATATTTTGTGTATTTTTCACAACCAAACCGAGGCTTTGCCGAGGCGAATGTATATTATTATCTCTTCTAGTTTCCATGTATCTTCTTTGTTTTTCAAATAATATTTTGTCTTGTTGTTATATTTCTGAGTACTATTTCTGTCAAATTTGTTATAAAGCCTTAACAGGTCGATGCGTTTTTCTTTTAAATAACCAATCACAACCTCCTATTGAAAAAAAATGATTTTTACAAATTATTGACATTTAAAATCTGCTATGCATAACTTGTTGTACATCGTTAGAATTGCAACGAATTTATCTATTTAGATGTATAAAAATCTCATATGACGCCTATAAGAAAACATAAAGTTGATGATGGTGGTCAAAAGCCGAAACGTCTGATGACAAATCTGAAAACACTGTTGTGTAGCTTGAAAAATGTGGCAATGAAAATGTGCTTTTAGTTTTGGGATACCTTGTCAAATAACGTTACAAAAAAATAAAATCTAAATCTTCAATTTTATGTTTTCTCAGTGTATCGTATCGAGCGTCAACGATAGTCAGCTGTTGTGGACGCCCCGCGTCACCGCGATTCAGGCGTCGCCTCACCGCCGCTGATGACCTAACCTTGCGCAAAAAAGCGCACGCGTCTTGCTATCGCAGGAAAATTTCCTGCCTCCTTTCCGTTAGTCTGTGTACTATTACACGGCATTACCCCGCAATATTTCATAATAAACTCGTCTGCTGTATTAATTGTACGGCTCTCGTAATTTTTCAGCTGTGTAGTCGCCAACAAGGAGAAGAGGACCGTCCACCAAGGACGATATCAGGAACACGCAGTCATGGAAAAGGACAGGTTAGGACAGTGGGGCAACGGGGACAACGTCGTTCCCGGACGCGAAAGTGGTCTGGATAGGTTGAAAAGTCCTGGCTTAAATAAGGTAAGGTGTTTGTTTTTGAACCTTACTTTTAATTTGTCGTTGAAAGTTTAAAGTCCATTTAAATTTAGTAATAATGATACAAACGTTAAAAGGTTTGAACTAGCTGTATACCTTTTAATTATTAATAAAGACTGTTTAGAATTAATAATGAAATACAAACATTAAAAAAGTTTTAAAGTAGGTAAACTTTTTTAAATGTACTTAGTAACTCCTTTTCATTCAAGTTATCTAAGAAAAAGATATTATTACTATAAAATTGATATTTTTGAAATATTTCAATGTTAATATAGAAAAAAATATATTTATACTCTAAAATATGATAAAAAAAAACGGCCGTAAGTTTACTAAGGAGTGAGGATTGATGACATATATACAGGGTGTCCGGAAATTAATGCAACAAAATTTGGTCATAGATTCTTGAAAAAAAAATAGGTGACCTGTATTTTTGGCCAGTGGGCCACCTTTTCGGATTTACAGCCCCCTGAATTTCGCCCCTAAAAAGAGTTTTATTTTAATATCTCAGGGCCCTGTCAGGTCGAAAATCACTAAATTTGGTACACGTTGTTTTACCATAAAATGACATTTTTTATGCTATTAACTTTCTCTTGTTTTCATCAGTGGCGTCCCTACTGCATTTAAACTAAATATTATTGAAGAAAAAAATGGTACGCCTCTGTTTTTTTTTAATAATAATTATTTTTAAAATCTACATTAAAATTGTTGTGAACTTTATATCTTGTTTTTTTTTCGTACGACGGACCCTTTTTGGTGTAAAAAAATAAAAACCATTTTCATGCATGACCAAATCGCTAAAATTTTAATGTAAATTTTCATAGCAAAATTTAAAAAACGACAATTTAGGTTTTTGGACATTTTGGTTCGCACTTAGGTAATAAAAACAAGATTTTGGAAAGTAAAAAAATATTTTAAACTTAAGTTTGTAACTGTTTAAAAATTTAAAAATTTTTAAAAACTTAACTGTTTTAAAAATTTTCCCATCGAAATTTAGGTAAAATTTTAGCGATTTAGTCATGTATGAAAATGGTTTTTATTTTTTTACGCGAAAACGGTGCGTCGTGCGAAAAAAAGTCAAGAGATAAAGTTGTTCCAAATTTAATGTAGATTTTAAAAATAATTTTTATTTACAAAAAAGAGTGGCGTACCATTTTTTTCTTCAATAATATTTTGTTTAAATACCGTAGGACGCCAATGATAAAAATAAATAAAAAGTTAATAGCATGAAAAAACGTCATTTTATGGTAAAACAACGTGTACCAAATTTAGTGATTTTCGTCCAACAGGACCCTGAGATATTAAAAAACTCTTTTTAGGGGCGAAATTCAGAGGGCTGTAAATCCGAAAAGGGGGGCCACTCGCCAAAAATAAAAAAATCCGGGTCACCTATTTTCTCTTTAAGAATTTATGACCAAATTTTGTTGCATTAATTTCCGGACACCCTGTATAAACAAGGATGACATTTAGGTACTTTATAATTTTATCTCGAATTTTACTTATAAAATGAGAAAATTGTCAGATCCAAGCCATTTCTGACGCCGTTTTTTTTTCGATCGTATCATTTACCAATTACATTATGGTTACTAAATTAAGAATATTTATCATAAATTAAAACGTCTTGAAAATAATGTGGGCTACTTATGCTTAATCATCTTTTTACAACATTTTTTAAACAAAGATATTAAAACTAATTACTAAATATTATTTTATAAAAGTGTGTCATCACAGTAATGATTTATGCAACAATATAACAACTAATATGTTTTAAAATATTTGGTTCTTCATATATACGAAACATTATTTTTTAATATACAGCATGTCCCCGGATTGCTTTTACAAGAGGAAAATTATTGACATTTTGAGAAAAATGCATACTTCATAAAAATTTTTGCTTCTTCTAAAATAATTAATCCCGTTTATTCTTTTCCAAATTTCCATATCATTTTAGAGAAAATTAGAAAAAAAAAACATGAAAATATAGTTGAATTTTTTTTAAGTCCTAAAAATCAAAACGCGTTTCTATGGTAATATAATTTCGTTTTCATTCTTTGATAGATTATTATTTTTGGTATGGATCTTAGTTCTGAACGCCGTGTACATTTCAAAATAATTTTTAATTATACACATTGCCTTTCCACATATAGCCTTAAAATATTTATTTCTACTTCTTTCCGTTTTCGTATAATCAAACGAGGCGAATGAGGTGCGCCACCCTGTATTTATAATGAGTACACAATACTACAATCATTATTATACCTTTTACGATATATTGTTATAAAACTGTACATTTTGTATTGTAATGCAAAAATTTCCTATAACTCAATTCGTAATAATTTCCCGTTTACTTTTAGTTAATACCTTAATAAAAATATTTTATTATAAGAGGGCCATGAGTATTACATTTTTTACTGATTTCATCATCAGTAATTCATGGATTTCCACCAGAAAATACTATAATTATGAGGAACTACATTATAGAACCTGTTTAACTTTCAATGTCGAAGTCTTCTTATTCATAGAACATTTTGATCATAATCATGTTTTTTTATAATTTTTGAGAATTTATTTAATTTTAGAAATGTAAAAAAAGTTATATAGAGACACAAAAAATAGTATCGTCTATATTAACTTTTCACTTATATTTCAATATTTTGAATGTTTAGTCATATAATGATATTATTAATCTATAAAAATTAGTGTCATCTAACTTTAATTTAGAACTTGCTAACTTGCATTGAAGAAAGTTATTGATGAAATAAATATTAAACTAGAGATAAGAAAAACTGGCGATTGCGATTTTTAAATCGCTGCGACTGTAACCTCCGATTGCGATTTAATTATTGTACGAGGTATATAATTGTCTGTGTATGTATCTATAGCTTAACAGTTAAAAAAAGTTAATAAAAATCAGTTTTTTAGTTTTTTTTCGAAATCGCAGTCCTAGTTTCCTATGAGAGCCAATCGCAGGTAGCGATTGCGATTTTAAAATCGCTGCGATTGAATCACAGTTTGCGATTTGTTACTCATCTATATATTAAACTTTCTATCATATATGGTGAAATTAACCCTATAACGCTTAGCGGTTTAATTCGTATACATACGAGTATACCGGGTGCGTCTCAAAAGTGGCTCACCCCCTATAACTTTTTTATTTTTTCAGATAAAAAACAAGATTTCGTATGTTAGTATATAACATAAATTAGGATTGATTGATGTATTTAATTGTTTTCGGTCACTTCCTGTTTCACCGGAAATAACTACAACTTTTAATTTTTAAATGGCAAAAATAGATTTGATCGTCTATAATGTTTTCAGTGTCTTCTAATATTTTAACCGGCCAGTTAAAATATGCCCAAATCATATTTCTAATCATATCTCAATTTTTTCAAATGGAACAACAAATGGAATCTCAAATGGAATGAGGGTGGATCATTAGCATATTTTAAAAAAGCATTTTTTTACGAATAATTTGATACCACACACTTGGTATTTCGAGTCAAATTGTCGCTATGAACCGCATGTTACAATTTCAAATAAACTATATGGGAAAATGTCAAAAGTTGACATATGATATGTCATTTTATTCAGAGTGTCATTTTCTATCAAATAAAGTAAAAAAATACCGAGGGTGTCATTTAAAAATCAAAAGTTGTAGTTGACCGAAAACAATTATTGAATACGTCAATCATTCCTAATTTATGTCATATATTAACATACCAAATCTGCCAAATCTCGTTGCTTTATCTGAAAAAATGAAATAGTTATAGGGGTGAGCCACTTTTGAAACGCACCCGGTATATTTTTTTGTTATTTCATAATTTATTGTTTCATTATTATCGTGCAAATATTAATTTTATATCAATAAAACCATGTTAATATTAAACATCTAATATTAAAGGTACACTAAGCATAATTACATTTTGTGTCAAATATGTTATGTGAGGTATTATAAGGTTTAGTCATTAACCACTAATATGGATTTTATTGCTTGGAATATTTTATATACAGGATGTCCCAATATTCCGTGGACATAGACTAAAATTACTACCTATTTTTGGAATCAAAATAAGTTCATTGGACACAGTTTACCCGTGGTTTACCTCTATACAAAAGTGCATCGTTTGTCCATTAGATGGCATCAAATTTTGAAAAAATAAACACATTTTTTAAGATATTTTAAGGACCGTTATCCCGATCCACAATCATTATCGCTATATGTAATTATAATTAATTTTATTTTTTATTTATTTTTTTATAAGGAAGAACTTATTAGTTCGCATGTTATGTATCATGATTGACCTTACACTGACATTGTGGATTTGAGATTTAACATAACATGTTATTAATTAATAGTTGAAATGTATATTTTTATTAGGATTCAAATGGTTTGATTGTTTTAAAAATGATGTTATCATCTGCCTGTTATCTTCTACAAATATTACAAAAAAAACGCACATTGCCAAACATACTCAACAAAATTTAAAAGTAGTTTTTCAAACTAATAAAAGCTAGTTAGAAAATATTATGTTACACATATTTTTACCACTTAAACCACAATTTAAAAATTAAAAAAATATATATAGGGAGGTCCTATTTGGCAATACATTCTGCAGATAAAAATAAGAAGTTCCTATAAATGTATGTCATAAAATGTTTCGTTTATACCGGGTTCGTCTCAAAAGTAGCTCACCCCTATAACTTTATTATTTTTTCAGTTAAAAAAAAAGAGATTTGGTATGTTAGTATATGACATACATTAGAATTGATTGACGTATTCAATTGTTTTCGGTCACTTCCTGTTTCACATTTCACACTTCCTGTCATTTAATTTCATATGGTTTATTTGAAATTATAACTTGCGGTTCGTAATCAAAATTTTACTCGAAATATACCAAGTGTAATGTGGTATCAAATTATTCGTAAAAAAGCCACCCTCGTTCTATTTGAAAAAATTGAGATATGATTAAATATACGATTTGAACATT